CGTTATTTTTCTTTTTTTTTTTTTTTTTTTTTTTTTTTTTTTTTTTTTTTTTTTTATTTATTTTCTTTTATTTTTTTTTTTTTTTTTTTTTTTATTTTCACTTGTGACATACAAGGCGTGTGTCACTTGACATTAGAATTCTGCGCTTTCACCTTCTGCCTCTCCTCCTCCCGCCTCCTGCTCTTCTTCGAGCCATCTGTTTCTCCTTCTCACAGCAGCTCAGTTCATTTTTTTTTTTTTATTTTTTTTTTGTTCTCTGCCTCGGTCCACCACCTTTTTGGCCTCCACCACCTCATCCTTCCATCCTCCTCTAGCTCGTCCACCACCATCCTCATCTTCTTCTCGCTCTCACGCACCACCTACTCCCGCCTATCGCTCTTTCTCCACCCATCACTCTCCTCCCTCCCTCTCCTCCTCCTCCTCCTCTCCTTCCCTTCAACCCCTTTTACGGTCGCCGTCCTCTTCTTCCCCACCTCTCATCCTCCTCCTCCTCCTCCTCTTTTCCTTCACCTCCCTTTACCGATCGCCTCCTCCTCCTGCCCTCCTCCTCCTGCCTCCCTCCTCCTCCACTTATTTACGCTCGTCCTGCTTTTTGCTGCTCCTCGTCTCGCTCCTCTACGGCTCGTCCACCACCTCCTCATTCCTCCTTCTCCTCCTCCAGCACCAACCTCCTCCTTTCGCTTATCGTCCTCTTCTCCTCCCACATCCTCCTCCTCTTTATCCTCCTCCTGTTTTTGCTGCCCTCCTCCTCTCTTCTCTCCCCTTCTCTACTCAGCCCGCTCCTCCTCCTCCCTGCCACCTCCTCCTTCGCCTCCTCCTCTCCTCCTCTCCTCCTCCCTCCAGCGCAGCCGCCGGTTCAGTTGTAATCTAACACTGCCGCCAATGATGTTGTAAGCACTCCCCGTAGCCATATGTTATTGACGATGACGCATAGAACAGGGACTACCAAACCGAAAAAGTGGATTATACCCCTCACGCCTACGCATCAGACAGAATACAAACTTCTATCAAGGACTACATGTACTGAGGACAGTCTTTTCATGAGAAAAACGTCTGATAAATCAATACTGGTTTGAGATTAAAATAATACATTTCTGCGTGATACAGTACAAAACCAGTGCTTTATAACATGAATAAAAAAATATATATATAATACAAAGAAAGCCGTCAGGCATATTGCTGTACTTATATTGGAGATACACGCGGAGCGAGCACAAAGTTGACTCACGGGCAACGAATGACACAGCGAAATAGTGGGAATGGCCTTGGTTTGAATTCACAATGTTAAATATATGATCGAAAGCCGTGTGAAAAGTTGTGTTGTCGTTAGTGCGTTTTCTCCGCTTCCAAGTTACAATAGAACAGCGCTCAGGGGTTTTAACATTTGATTCTCGTATATACTTTACGTCGTGAGCCTATTCTATACGTATAAGCGTCATCAACATTGTATCTCTGCGACGATGATTGCAGTTAAGACTGACACGAACGTCCGTTTTGCTAAATGAAATATTGTGACCTGCAATTGCCCGGTTGCTGGCGTTTGCTTAGCCTCATGTCCGATAATCATCTAAAGAAGAGAGAAGCGAGATTGTGTATCTGATCTATAGAATGGATGAAATACAATCTGCAGCTTTAAATTCCTTTACGAGGTTTGTTATGTATAGATCATGTTAGGTTTTTGGTGCTGCAAAACGCACACGCGCAAACACGCGCACAACGCACACAACGCACCGCACACGCACACGCGCACGCACGCCACGCCCCCCGCACCGCAGCAGCAACGCCACACGCGCACGCACACCCGCGCACCCAGCGACGCGCACACGCACACCGGCCGCACCTGCACAGCGTCCCGCAAGGCACACGCACACTGCGCGACACACAGCCACGCACCACACGCATAACCATTCACAACAATTATGTTTCTATGACGGTAACTTAAAATATATTAAATTACCTCTCAGGGGGGGGGGGCATTGTCAGCAACACATCATAATCACAGATGGTTATCATAAATCTAAAATGTCAGAAATTTCTCACATAAAATATCGGGCACAAAAGTTACGAGATTTTTCACACTTGAAAGTAAAAACTATTTCGGATGTGTCGGACCACGACCCCCTGATAGGTTATTTGATGATTTTTACATTAACATGATTGCTAATGGGTTGATTTGAACGTGATTCCAGCGGCATATTTCTGCGGTTCGGTCACTCTCTCGTGCCCGCAGCAGCGGCAGTTTCTCGCCATCATCCTAGTTGACTACCCAGGTTGGACGAATGACAGGTAGGGGAGCAGAGAAAGATTTATTCATAGACCTTTAGATATAGATTTTCGAATTTTTCATTTGCACACACACACACACGGACGCACGCACAGTCGCGCGCGCACGTACGCGCGCACACACACACGCACATGCGCACGCGCACGCGCACGCACACGCGCACGCACACACACGCGCGCGCTTTCTCTGCCCCTTATCTCCCCTCGCTCTGCCTCTCTCCCCCTCGATCTGCTTCTCTCCCTCTCTCTGCCTCTCTCACTTTGCTCTGCTTCTCCCCTCTGTCTCTTCCCCTCTCTCTGCCCCTCTTCCCCTCTCTCTGCCTCTCTCCCCCTCTCCCTGTCTCTCTCCCTTCTCCGCATCTCCCCCGCTCTGCCTCTCTCCTCTTCTCTGCCTCTCTCCCCTCGCTCTGCCTCTCCCCTCTGCCTCTTCCCCTTTCTCTGCCCCTCCCCTCTCCCTGCTTCTCTCCCCCTCTCCCTGCCTCTCTCCCCCTCTCCCTGCCTCTCTCTCCCTTTCCGCATCTCCCCCGCTCTGCCTCTCTCTCCCATCTCTCCCCCATCTCTCTCCCATCTCTCCTCCATCTCTCCGCCTCTCTCTCACTTCCTTTTTTCCCCATAGTAACACGATATAGATCTATATACCATATTTCATACGCATCATGCATAATGTATGACTTCATGTCATTACCCATGCTAATCCCATTCCATTCATTCCCCAAGACGGACCTCGAAACCGAACAGCGATATGCCGCGTATTAGTGAATAATTAGTTATCGTTGGTGCATTTCATCTCTTTGATGTTGTTTGCTATACAGGCGAGGGAGGGTTAGAGGGATGCTGCGGGATGCATGCGCAGGGAGAGAGGCGTGCTCTGTGGCTGATGTGGAGCGCGTGGGAAGTAGAGGTTGCGCGCCGGATCGCCTGATACACGTCGTACACAAATGTATCGGTGAGTGAGGTTGGGGGAGTGGGTGCGGTAGGTGGGAAAGAAGGAGAGAGGAACGCATGGTAAACCGACTTTGTGTATTACTAATGGCCTCATGACACGTTCCGGCACATCCGCCTATACAGACAGTCAGTACACGTTTCCACATTACTACTACACAGATTGAGCAAGCACCGGACAGTGCAGCGAACCCACTATTCACTCTCAATCAATATCAACAAGACAGTATTGTTGCCAAGTGTTGACTATTGTTAATAATTATTGATCATACTTGAAAGTTGTTGGCGACTGCCAGGAGCTTTTTGCGAGCGCCAACTCTCTCGCGTGTGTGTGTAGAAGTGTTTAGGAGTGATGTTGAATATTGGCAAACGTTAGGAAGTGCTAAGCAGTCGTTAAGACTATTAATATATAAGTGGGACTTACGAGTGTTGGCGAGAGATAACAATATTTAGCGACTGTTAATATGTATTGACATACGCTAAGCGGTGCTGACCCGTGTTGAGTCGCGTTGGCGTGTGTTACTACGCGCTGTTCAGTGTTGCCGAATGTTGGCAACTGCTGGCGAGTGTTGCCAAGCGTTGGCGATTGTTGCCAAGTGTCGGCCACTGTTCATAAACATCGACAAGTCTTGGAGAGTGTTTACGAGTGTTGACCAGTGATGACCAGTGTTGACCAGTGTTGACCAGTGTTTACAAATGTTGACCAGTGTTGACCAGTGTTTACAAATGTTTGCAAGTGTTGACCAATGTTGACAAACGTTGACCAGTGTTGACCAGTGTTGACAAATGTTGACAAGTGTTGGTGATTGTTGCCCAGCCTATCGGTACCAGCTGTAGCAGGCATCATCACGGCTCACCGCCCCCTGCAGCGGGTTCAAACAGAAGGGTTACGTCGCCTACGGGAGACTCCCCAGGTCGATGACAACGATGCATGTTTGCTCATTTATCGGTCTGCTGAGTCTGGCAATAGTTCAAAGCAGCAGAGCAGATGATTTCACACCCATAGGTAAACATATGTCGTGTTGTTGTTGTTCATTTTCTTGTTGTTAATGTCGTTGTTGTTGATGATAATGATGTTGTTGTTGATGTTGTTGCTGATGTTGTTGTCGTCGTCGTTACCGTCATCATCGCGGTTGTCGCCGTCGTTTTAGATGTAGTAGTAGTAGCAGATGTTGTTGCTGATGTTGTTGTTGTTGTTGTTGTTGTTGTTGTTGTTGTTATGTTGTTGTTTTTGTTGTTGTTGTTGTTGCTGATGTTGTTGTTGTTGCTGCTGCTGCTGCTGTGTTATGGTGACATAACTGGGAGTAGCTGTAGTTATTGACTGCCCCTCTGTTATCCATACATGACTATTCATTTATCCGTGCATGCAAACGTAGTTGCTGAATGTAGACAGTATCACTAGGGCCAGCATACAGAATATAGAACGTAGCTATTTCAGCTTGTACAATAACGTCTGCGTCAATATATAAAGACGATAGGGAGGAGTAGGTGGTGCTGGAGAAGGAGAAGAAAGATGAGGAGGTGGTGGACGAGGTAGAGGAGGAGGTGGGGAGGGATGAGGTGGTGGAGGCAAAAAGTGGTGGACGAGGAGGAGTGAGCTGGGAGAAGGAGAAGAAGATGGCGAAGAAGGAGGAGGGGGAGAAAGAGGAGGAGAAGGTGAAAGGAGAATTCCAATCAAGTGGAAGCACACGCCTTGTTATTCACCAAGTGAAAAAAACGATATCATCTATAAAATAACTGCTATTGTATATGTTGCAGCTAGTCGTTGTCCGAATATGACTTTAGCGTGCCTGACTGTATACGAATGATTAAAATATCTGTGTATGTAATTATGTACAAACACACGCACGCGTACGCACGCGCGCACACGTGCATGCACGCACGCCACGCACACATACACCCGCGCTCACATACGCACGTACAACACTCGCACGAGCAAACCTGCGCACGCACAAACCCGCACACGCGCAAACGCGCGCACGCACAAACACGTGCACGCACGCACACATATATCTATCTAGGTTTATCTGTGGGGAAGTTTGCTATACCGCCAATAATGTACCTAGGATCTAGGAAACGTGGGAAGTGCGAGCAATCATCTATTCTACCACAGCCATAGCGGCAGCTATATAGGCTTGTATGTAAACATATTATATTATTAATGTGACTATTTAATTAACTATGTGGTAGATATATATAAAACACGTCGTCGTTCAATGTTTGTTATACTATAACCGCTTCACATTATTAGTCTAATAATTATGAGTTTATTAAATAATATTCTGATAAGTATTAGAATAATAATAATATTCTGATAAGTATTTGTAAAATAATATTTATTCTGATGAGAATCAGAATAAAAATTATTAGTATGGAAATTATTGGTATGCTTATTTAAAGCGTTTATATGTTATTCCGGTGTGAGTCACGTGTTCGTATATGTGAGACAGCTGGCGCCCTCTATGACATGTTGCTATCGATAGGGATTAACTTTCCCCCGGGCGTAGATGGACGGTCACGTGATGTGGCAGCACTGGTGTTAGGATTAGGGTTAGGGTCAGGGTTAGGGTTAGGGTTAGGGTTATAGTTAGAGTTAGGGTTAGGGTTAGGGTCAGGGTTAGGGTTAGGGTTAGGGTTATAGTTAGAGTTAGGGTTAAGGAAATAAGGCCATGTCTAGCACGGAAGTATGACTGCGGAATTTTTCTGGGGAAGATTTGGAATTTGAAGCATACGAAGTGACTAGTGCTGCCACGTAACGGCACCGTCCATCTACGCCCGGGGGAAAGTGACATCGCTATCGATAGCACATGAACGATACCACGCGCCAAAACCGCGTTAGTACTTACTTCAGTTAAAAACATGAATGCGTATATAATAATAATTATGTATAGTATAATATTTCTGTAAGAAAAAATGTTTTGTGATCATGCCACAACCTACCCCTTTATCTTTCCCGCCCAGCCTCGTTCCTTCCTCCTCCTCCTCTCCCTCTCCCTCTCTCTCGCTCGCTCGCTCTCTCGCTCTCTCTCATTTTCTATCTTTCTTTCTTTCTACTCTCTCTCTCTCTCCCTCTCTCTCTCTCTCTCTCTCTCTCTCTCTCTTTCTTTCTTTTTCTCGCTCTCTCTCTCCCCCCTCTCTCTTTCTCTCTCATTCTCTCCCTCTCTCTCTCTCTGCGCGTGCACGCGCGTGTGTGTGCGTAGTGTGTGTGTGTGTGTACGTTCGTGCGAGCGTGCGTGTGTGTGTGTGTGTGTGTGTGTGTGTGTGTGTGTGTGTGTGTGTGTGTGTGTGTGTGTGTGTGTGTGT